AAAAAAAAAGAATTAAAATGCTGATTATCTTTGTGTCATTTGCAGACTATTCCTTCCTCACAGGGAGGTTTTTCAGTGTTGTGTGTGAGTGTGCATGGATGTCTAGTATATGTGTGTGTGTAGTGTATGTGCGTATCTGTGTAGTGCATGTGTGTGTATGCATCTGTGTGTCTGTGTAGTGCATGTGAGTGCATATGTACATCTGTGTGTCTGTGTAGTGTGTGTGTGTGTGTGTGTGTGTGTGTGTGCGCACGTGTGTGTGCATATGTACATTTACATTCAGAGGTATATGTTGGATGTCTTTCTCCACCGCCCTCCATCCTATCTTCTGAGACAGTCTCTCACTGAACCTGGAAGTCACTGTTTGGCTAGACTGCCTGGCCAGCAAGCTCTGGGGATCTGCCTGCCTCTGCTTCCCCTGCACCAGGGTTGCAGACATATATGACCACACCCAGCTTTTTTCTGTGGGTGCTGGGGTGGCAGCTTTCCCTGCTGAGTCCTCTCTCCAGCACTGGTTTACAGTGTTTCATGTTACATTTCTGAGTGTATGGTCTGTGAAGGGAAGCTGTGATGTCTTGTATCCAGCTTTACCCTGATGTTTCTGGGCTGCATATTGGGTGTTGCTCCAGACGGGGACTGGCTCCCTCTTCCTGAGCCTAAGAAGAATTTAGTCAAGAACAGAGGGGAAAGCTGGTGGTGCACGTTTTCTGCTGGGCCATGGCAGATGAGAGAGGCTTCTCCTGGAGGTTATTGAGTGATTCTCCTAATCTTCTGGAAACAGTTATTGAGTGAGGTTTAGAACCAATGATGAGTCTGTCATTAGCACAGTACTTTATACACCTAACATGAGGCTGGCTGTACCGTCTTCCCATGCACTTTGAATATCAGGGCCAATGCCAGCAGCCTGCTGTGTCTTTAGAATCTGAGCTTTGTGTCATAGAAGAGATGACCCTGGCCATTGGCAGAGAGATGATCTTCCTTAACAGGATGGTTTATATTGGTCATGAAGAACTGCTTCTCACTTTGATGGCCCACAGGTACAGTTGGGACCTGATGGGTCTATTCACTCCTTTCCCTGGCTTCCCTTTGCATGGATCTTGTTGAAATATTTACAAATGTAGCAAAGCCCCAAGGAGCAGCTGTATTCCCATGGTGTGAGTTTTCCATGGTTGTATGGGGCTGAGAAATTGAAATTTCTATGCTTAATCTCTAGGTTTCATGTTTTAATTTAGATGAGCTGAGATCGTTAATGAGTATCTTTTGCCAAGAGTCATTAAAGATGGCATTGCGTCTGAGGTTCCAAATTAGCATTCTGACCATGTCTCCTGATTTGATTTCTGGTTATGGAAGTGAAGTGTGCAAAGCGATAGGATTTCCCACAGTGGCTGGTGAGTTATGGGTCAATTTCAGTTATCTCAAGGATCTGAGGCAGCTTGCCCTCCGCACCGCTTGAATTATGGCATTTTCCGGCCTTTGCAGGCAAATTCATGCATCACCGTTATCCCAGAGGAATCTAGATAGTGGTTGGTGGGGGCTAGACTTC